TGTTGCTGTGATAGAAACACTGGCCAAAGCAATTTATAGAAGCAAGAGTTTATTTGAGCTTATGGTTCCAGGGGAATTACAGTCTGTCATGGCAGGGAGACATGGTGGCTGGAGATGTCTGGAGCAGGAGCAGCTGAAGGGAAGCTCTTACATCATCATGAAGACACAGGAAGCAAGAGATGACTGAAGGTTTGGCAAGGCTTAAGAACTCTCTAAGCCCACCCCCAGTGACATGCTTCCTCCAGGATAGCCACACCTTCTAAAACCTCTCGAAATAGCACTACCAGCTGGGGACAAAATGTCCAAATACTTGGAGCCTATGGGGGACATTTTTTTTCAAACCATCACAACCGGAAATGCCAGAGGTTTTCATGGCTGTGAAAATAGTTGTTTGCCAAAAAAATGTGAGGCTCATAGGTAGAAAGTAAAAACATTGATCATGGGGGAGAGGTGAGGCAGGAGGGGTGTTGGTGGAGGAATGGGGGTGCAGGGAATGTAGCTCAGTTATTAGAGTGCTTGCCTAGTATGCATAATATCCTGGAATCAATCCCAAGCAATGTATAAAGCATTGTGACACATACCAGCAATCCCAGCACTCAGGAGATTGTAGGCAGGAGGATCAAAAGGACAAGACCATCCTCAACTACATAGCAAATTTGAAGTCAGCCTGTGCTACGTAAGGCCCTGTCTCAAAAAAAAAAAAAAAAAAGTTGCTCTTATACAAGAGGAGAGTAGAGCAGTGCAGGGCATGTAACCCCAGCATTCAGCAGGATAGAGAGTTTGAAACCAGCCTAGGCTGCAAGGGACGTTTTGTTAGGGGGACGGCAGTAACAGGAATTAGGAGAGTCTGGTAGGAGGGAGGAGAGGGGAGGAGAGGGGAGAAAGCCAGATGATGAAGGCAAGATCAGAGCCCCAGAGGATTAAGCTCTAGTGTTCTACGGCACAGTAGGGTGACTGTAGTTAACAATAATTTATTATCTATTTCAAAATAGCTAGAAGGGACGATTTTGAATGCTCCCAACACAAACAATAAGCTTTAAGGTGATGGATATGCTAATTACCCTGATTTGATCATTACACATTCTATATATGTATCAAAATATCACACTGTACCCATAAATATGTAAAATTGTTTCCAATTAAAATGAAATTAAAAACTGAGAAAAAACCCAAGCATTTAACAAAGGCAGAGCCTTGAAAGTTTAGCCTAAAAACTTAATAGCTAAGTCCCCAATTTAAGAAGTTATATTAAAAAAAAGAATAAACCCAACAGAAGTAATAAGCAAGCTAAGAAGAGAAATTAATTAGATCAAAGTTTTAAAAAAATGCATTGACAAGGTCAAAAATTGATGTCTCAAAAAAAAACTAATGAAAAAAAAAACCTCTGGCAAGATTGATCAAAAACAAAAGAGACCCCACACTGAGGGCAGTTATTAAAAATAACAAAGGATCCAGGAGATTAGGATGGTGGAAAGGAAGTAGTGCTTAGGGCTTTGTCTGAAGGTCGGGTCATCCCAACCGGGTCATCCCAGCTCACACAGGCTCATCTACGCCTTACCCAGTCCCAAGGGCAGCGGAAATCCTGACTGTAAACTGAGAGAAGCAGAGCTTGAGGCGGCAAACTCACAAGTCCATTTCACATGAGAGCAGAGCTGCAAACACCCTAAACAAAGTAAGAACAGTCAAGCCAGCATCCACATGGTGAGAGATTGTGGCCCACTTGCGTTATTCTAGAACTACCAGGTTGACTTTTTCCTTTGTCTTTTCTTTTAGGTACTGGGGATTGAACCCAGGGCCTCACAAATGCTAGACAATGTCATGCCCAATCCTGCCTGTCATTTTTATTTTGAGACAGGGTCTCTCTAAGTTGTTCATACTGGCCTTGAACGCCAATTCTGCTGTCTTGACCTCCTGAGTAGCTGAGACTACAGGCCTGAGTCACCAGGCCAGGCCAGGATGTCTTAATATTATAAATGTGTAAGCCTCATTCACAGACTTGTTGAGAAAAATTGCATTATCTTTACCTTTATATTTTTTGTTTTTATTTTATGACAAATTGACAATTTATAATTGCCAGCATTTATGGAGTACAAAGCTATGTAATGTTTTAGGAACACAATCAAACTAATTAGCATATCCATCACTTCAAATACCACTATTTGTGGTGAGAACATTTGGAATTTGCTCTCTTAGCAATTTTGGAATGTGCAGTGCACTATTATTAACTGTCTTTTCAATAAATACAGAAGTATTTTATATGATTTAACATTTTTTTTAAATCTTGACTAGAAAATTAGAAAGTTATTTAATAATAAAAGGTTATCTACTTAAAACCTCTAGAAAATTTTAGGGTTTTACTGCATTTTTTTTTTAACGTGTATAAGTGTATTGCTTGAATGCCTGTATTGTTAGGGTCCGTGACTCCGTGGGTCCCTTCTGAAGAACAAATGCAAGAGTACGGAGATGCAAAAATCAAACAGAGTTTTACTGAACCAGCTGGCTAGGGCTGACCGTCCTTCCAAGACACGCAGGTCTGGTTAGGGCAATCGACCCTGAGACAATTTTAGGTAAAGATTATATAGGCTTCCACAACCGTTACACAAGTGCCCGCGTTTATACAGCCAATAGTTTCAAAGCAAGCATTTCATAAACCAATAACTTTAAAACAAGAAAAAATGTTATAGCTCCCTTCAGGTGTCTCAATTGGGGAGAGATGATTGGTATGTGCCTGGTATGACTCTTTCTTGTTATCTTGTGTAAGCAGACATGACATGACACAGAACAGGTCAGGCTCCGGGGGTTGTAGCACTTTGCCTCTATCTCTGGATGCCTGTGTCTCTAGTTGAGTTAATTGGTTACAAGCAATAAATTTAAACAAGTAATTTTAAGCAATAAATTCAGGCAAGCAGTATATTCAAATAAACAGTAAATTCCTCTTTCCCTAACATTTAGTAAGTTCAAGCAGTAAATTCAGGCAAGCAGTATATTCAAACAAAACAGTAAATTCCTCTTTCCCTAACAGTATGTAAGTGCACCCATGGCAAGCAACACCCAAGGAGGTCAGAAGACAGTGTCAGATCCCCTAGAACTGGAGTTACTGATGGTTATTAGCCGCCATGTGGGTTCTGGGAATCAAACTCAGGTCCTCTGCAAGAGCAGCCAATACTCTTAACCTCTGAACCATCTCTTCTGCCCCTTATTATATTTTTTAATTTATTTATTATGTGTAGATATGTGGGTGGGGGGAGTGTGCCACAGCAAGCATGTGCAGATCAGAAGACAACTTTTGGGAGTCAGTTCTCTCCTTCCACCATGTGGATCTCAGGGATCAGGCTCAGGTCATCAAGCTTGGCAGCAAGCACCTATACCTACTGAGCCATGTGCCAGCCCAGTTTTGTTTTTGTTTTTTATGTCAGATGGGTAAGGTACTAACAGTATATCAAGAAGTAAGGGAAGTAAATGTCACATAGTGGTGTGAACAGCAGTCAGCACACTTACGAACCAAAGGAGAATAAAATCTTTTGTTCTGTTTCTTTTTTTTCTTTCTTTTTTTTTTGAAATTTGCCATTCTTTACATTTATTTATTATTTTTATTTTATGTGTATGAGTTTATTGCCTACATGTATGTGAGTACACCTGTGCCATGCTATGCCTCAGAGGTCAGAAGAGGGCTTCAGATTCCCCTGGAACTGGAGTTAATGACAGTTCGCAGCCACCATGTGGGTGCTGAGAATCGAACCCGGGTCCTCTGCAAGAGCAGTCAGTGCACTTAACTGTTGAGCCATCTCTCCAGCCCCATTGTTCTGTTTCTTTTTTAAAGGTGTGTGTGTGTGTGTGTGTGTGTGTGTGTGTGTGTGTGTGCTACACATGTGTGGGTGCCCTTAGAGGCTAGAAGTGGGTCCCTAGAGCTGGAGTTACAGGCCTGTGAGCCACTGGATGTTGGTGCTGGGAGTCAAACTCCTCTGTAAGAGCAGCAAATGCTCTTAACTACTGAGCCATCTCTCTAGCCCCAAGCCTGTCATTCTTAAAGAGAAATCAGCATCAGCATTTTCTTTATAATGCTTCAAAGACAAAGATCCTCTCCAACACCACTTCTCCCCAAAGCAGGACCACACGCAGTACTGGCCAGAGCAGTAAGACAAGAAAGGAAGAAAGAAAGAAACACAAAGATTGGAAAGAAGAAATGTGTGTTACTTATGGATTATATATTTTTTTACATAGAAAATCAAAGAACTACAGGTAAAAATGTTAGAACAAAAGATTTAATGATGCCAGGCATGGTGGCACACACCTTTAATCCCAGCACTTGGAGGCAGAGGCAGGCAGATCTCTGTGAGTTCAAGGCCAGCCTGGTCTACCTAGTGAGTTCCTGGCCAGCTGGCACTACAGGGAGACCCTGTCTCAAAAAGACAAGATTTAATGAAATTGTTAGACTTTAAGATTTTAAGAGATGTTTAAGCTGGTATGATGGCTCACACCTGTAATTTCAGCACTCAGAGAGCTGAGGTAGGAGAATTGCCAGGACTTTAGGACCAGCCTAGATTACATAGTGAGTTCCGAGTCAGCCTGAGGTACAGAGGGAAGGCCTACCTCCAAAAACATAAAAAATTAAAAAATAAAGAGAAATATTTTTCCCTATGAGAAAAAAAAAATTAAATGCAACTTTAAAATATCTATCATTGGTTGGGGTTATAGCTCAATAGTATGTACAAAGTCTTGTGTATGTACAACTGCAACAAAAAAGCCAGCAAACTAGCCACGAATAAATCTAACAAAATAAGTATAAAACTGGGTAGCATCATAAACCTGAAAGATAATAAATGGCGTCGTGTGTGTGTGTGTGTGTGTGTGTGTGTGTGTATGAGAGAGAGAGAGAGAGAGAGAATACATATGTGTGTGTCGTGTATGTGCACATGCATGTGGAAGCCAGAGGTATCATTCTCTGTCTCCTTTTTTTTTTTTTTTTTTTTTTTTTTTTTTTTTTGTCTTTTTGAGATAGGTTCTCCCTGTAGCTCCAGCTGCCCTGGAATTCGCTGTGTAGACCAGGCTGGTCTCAATCTCACAGAGATCCGCCTGCCTCTGCCTTCTGAGTGCTGGAGTTAAAGGCATGCACCACCTCACCAGCCTGGCCAGCCAGCAAGCTTCAGGGATCTGCTCTGCCCCGTATTTCTTCCCAACCTGCTCAGCCCTATGGTTGCATATATGTGTCACCTGCCCAATTTTCACATGGTGCTGAGAATTCAAATTCAGATCCTCATGCTTACACACAGATACTTTATTGAACAAGCTATCTCCTAGCTCTGGAAATAATATCTTTTTAAAAGTCCTTCAGTGAGGGCTGGGGAGATATCTCAGTTGACAAAGAGTTTGTCTTGCAAGCATGAAGACCTGAATTCAAACCCAGAACCCCGTAAAAATGTGAGAGTAGTAGCACATGCTTATAATCCCAGCACTGACGTGGCAGAGACAGGTAGAGCCCTAAGGCTCCAGCCTAGCTTAGTGGGAAAGCTCCAGGCCAAAGAGAGGCCCTGCCTCAAAAAACAAAGGGGACAGAGCTGGAGAGATGGCTCAGTGGTGAAGAGCACTCAGTGCTCTTCCAGAGGACCCAGATTTGGTTCTCAGCATCCACATGGCAGCTAACAACCATCCCTAACTCCAGTTCCAGGAAGTTCTGGCGTCCTCTCTGGCCTCTGCAGGAATTGCATGCACATGGTGCAATTACATACACACAGGCAAATGTGTGTGTGTGTGTTTTGTTTTGTTGTATTTTTCTTATATATGTATATATATTTAACTAATTATATAATATATAATAAATAAATCTTTAAAAAGAAGAAGAAAATAAAATGAAAAGAAAAGCCACCAACTGGGAACAATCATTGAGACACACACCACTGACAGCCCCAGAGAACGAGAGAACAGGCCTTTCTCAGAAGTAGAACCTGAAAGACAATTAGTGTTGGAAAAATCAATTCCATCAATATCAGAAAAACAAAAACTAGGACAACATGAGATTTTCCACCCTCTAACTTGGCAGAATGACAAAGGCTGATGCCGCCAAGGGCTGGCAAGGATCCATCAACTCAGAGTCTGGGGATAGAAATTAGCGTGAGCATTTTGGGAAACAAGGTGGTAGCACTGGTAGGCTTGAACATTTGCATACCTAACTCACCAGTGATCCCAAGGAAAATCCTGACCTTAGGGTCTAGGAAACATGGCCAAGAATGTCCATAGTATAATCCTGGCATGGAAGCAGGAGGACCACAAACTTGAGACCAGAGTCTGTGTATATATATATGTGTGTGTGTGTGTGTGTGTGTGTGTGTGTATTCATATATGTGTGTGTGTGTGTGTGCGCGCACGCCAGTCACAGCGATGTGCTTGGAAGGCTATGGGGGGAATTCAAGGCCAGTCTGAAGCTGCATAATGAGTTCCAGACCAGCCTCGCTCCACTCCATTCCCACCAAAATTTAAAAAGAAACTGCCTTCAACAGCCATTAACAAGAAATGAAATGGATAAAACTAGTAGATACAATGAACTGTACAGAGGAGAGAAAATGGATGTTTTGTCAAAAGACAAAATTACAAGAAATTTAGTTATAGATAAAATCAGCTTGTATTCACGATTCATGAGTCAAGGCAGCCTCCACGCTACAGAATAGAACCAGAGCTCCCGTGGGCAGAGGCGAACAGTGGGTTTTGTGAGGGGTGAGCAGGGACAGAGAACAATGGGAAAGAAGCGGGTTGGTTACTGCTGGCTGCTTCAGCTTATTGCTTTGTAAAGATTAAAGGAAAAGAGGCTCTCTTTAAATTTTTTTCATCAAACAGCTTTATTGGGATATAATTGCATATCATATAATTCACCTATCTGAAGAGTACTGTGGTGCTTCTGGTACACACAGAGTTGTGCTACCATTTCAGAACATTCTCAACTCTCTGAAAAGAGATTCCTTAACCCAGAGGTAGCTGTCCCATTCCCTTCCTCCCCACTCCACCTTCTCTGCCCCGCCCCCGCCCATGCCATTACTTACCTTCTTTCTGTCTTTCTATTTGCCTACTCTGCCCCTCTCCCTTTTTTTCCCCTGTTGTACTAGGGATCAAACCCTGGGCTTCCCACATGCTAGGCAAGCACTCTACCACTGAACTATGGATATCCAACTCTACTATGGATATCATTTTAAAACTTCCTTCTAAGTCACGTATAATGGCACACACCTTTAATCCTAACACTTGGGAGGCAGACACAGGGGGATCTCTGAGTTCAGGTCTACCTAGGGAGTTCCAGGTCAGCCAGGGCTACATAGTGAAAACCATCTTCTAGCCACAAAACAAGTTCCAGGTTCATTGAGAGACTGTCTCTAGTGAATAAGGTGGAGTCTGAAAGAGGAGTCCACCCTATATCCTTCTCTGGCCTCGTCAAGCACATACATAAATACATGCGCACACACACACACACACACACACACACACACACACGCCACTTACTCAGCACATATAGAAGCTAAAGTTAAAATTTCCTCCTGTTATTTGACCAATGTCCCTCCTCATGCCACTAATTCCTCAAGCCTGTAGTGACCACCATTCTACCCTCTGCCTCCATGAGATCAACTGTATTAGTGATTTTTCTTCCCACTGTGACGAAATTCCTGACAGCAACAAATTATAGGAGAAGAGATTTATTTTGTTTGCAGCTCCACAGAGCACAGTTCATCTGGCAACTGGGGTGGCTGGAGCACACAGTGGAAGTTCTCACATCTTGTTTGTAAATATATAATATTTATTTTTGTGTGTGTGTATGTGTATTGCCTGCATGTATGTTAAGTGCAGTCATGTTGTGCAAATCCTGCAGAGGTCAGAAGAGGACGTCAGACCCCCTAGAACTGGAGTTATGGGTAATTGTTAACCACCGTGTGGGTGCTGGGAATTGAACCCAGGTCCTCTTCAAGAGCAGTCAGTGCACTTAACCACTAGCCATCTCTCCAGCCCGAGTTCTCACATCTTAGAAGACTAGGAAGCAGAGAGAATTCAGGCTGGAACCAGAAGCAGGTATCAGCTTCAAAGTCACACCTTTAATGACCTTCATCCACCAGCAACATCCTATGCTCCAGAGGTTCCATGGATTCTCAAAACAGTACCACCAGCTAGAGTCAAATTATTCAAACACAGGAACTATAGGGGATAGTTCAGATCCAAACTATAAGACCAACTTGTTTGGTGGTTTGTTGTTGTTGTTGTTTGGGTTGGTTTGTTTTGTTTTTTGGAGTGGCTTTTGATCTTTTTTGGTTTTGGTTTTCTTTTTTTTTTTTTTTTTTTGGTTTTTTTTTTTAACCAGGGTCTCCCTGTAGCCCCAGCTGGCCTGGAACTTGCTATGGAGACCAGACTGACCTTTATATTTTAAAGATTTGTATATTTATCTGTAACTGTGTGAGTTTATGCACACTCATGTGTACGGGTATACAGGCTTGTATGCACACAGAGGCCAAAAGAGGGCATCAGAATACCAGGCTTGTTAC